TAATTTCGCCTGCTATGTATTTTACGTCACATAGCGACATTTTTAAGCATGCTTAGTCCAGTACCATTATCACAGAGTAAAGAGTAAGGACCAGTACCCCGAGCACGAACATTTTGCTCTATAGTACAGTTTACGAGACAGTTTAGTTTCAGTAAAATTTTGTATGGGAATTTGAACAGCGCTCCGTGAGCGTATTTGGAACTAAAATTTGGAAGCACGAACATCTAACGCTGCGTTATGCATAGCTATAGTTTCGTTTAAGTAATCGTAAGACGCAAAATGTGTGGATTTTGGCAGCACGAATCTATTTTTGACGTACGTTATCGTCTATCCACTATAGAGAACTACGAAATTGTTCTCACCGACATTTTTACAGCGAGAACGCTATCGAGAAGTCTTAGTTTTAAGTTTTTCTGGATTTTTCTTTGATGTAAGTTTAAAATATTTTTATTAAGAATAAATAAGATGAGATCCACGACTTTTTATTATTTTGCGTGGCGTTTGGAAGTCGAGGAAAGAAGGCAAAGACGAGAATTAAGGTACATAAAATGTACTATATTAAAGTATTACTAATTAATAAATTCTGTAAATACCCTTACCTTCATTATATAATTGATTAATAATAAATTTATTTTAATAGGTGTTTAAATTAAATATATCTAAATAATTCCAGTGGTATTACCCAACGGGTTTTTCATCGCCGAACTGAAGAACATATGAATATTTCTGAAAGATACGATTAAGTAAAATGCATTTAAATTCCCTTGCCTTGAACTTCACTCTAAAATAAACTTGACAGGGAAACTTATTATATATAAATTCTAAAATAAAAGAATAAGCTTAGAGCTTAAGGTATAAAAAAATAATGCTCAGAATTAATTTACCTGCTGTAGTTATTATGCACCTAACCTCATATTTTTTTCATTTATGTTTTAGGTTCTTTGTAGGTGTATTATTTTACGCAACAGGCTCTTAACAACGTTTATTCGGTACGAGAAAGAATTTGGGCCAAACAAGTGTTAGCAAATGTGTCTCAAGTTACGGAGGCACTTAACAGCCAATAAATAATAACCAATAACTTTATCAGGTTCCCCACTTCAAGGGCTGAGAGAGACGTCATAAAAGTACTTACTTACAATATTTTATTTTTAGCTTTGTTAATGAATGAAAAATAGGTGGAGAAATGCGTAAACAGGGATCGCAATCTGCATTACAAACCCGAAAAATACGCCAAAATTATTATAGTTATAGCTCGTTGTGTCCTACATAATATAGCTATGCTATTTGGAGTATCAGACCCAGAGGCAGATGGGTACGGTAATAATTTAAATGATCACATGAGCAACATGATTTATGCATTATAAGAAGTAACAGTAGTCAGGGTTAGTAAGAGGTCGTGCTATGAGAGGAATTGTTGTAGGAATAGACTTAGTGCAGTGTAATTCTTCTGTATGTAATTTGTGTTTATGCCCAGATTTAATTTTTATATTAATAATAATCTAACAATGATTTATTTATTACTTTATTCATAATTTAAATTAAATATTTCAAAAATTTCGACCACTGCCAAGATCAAAAATGTATTAAGCAAATATAAATAAAAAGGGTTATGTTAATATGTATTAAGGAATTTATGAATGGCAAATAACCCCTGGGAATGAGGTAGTTTCTACTAAGTTATTTCTAATACCACTTATAGTTAATTGTGTAACATAATATATAGCATATTATACGATAAGGGTGACAAACGAGCACACAGTCCACCTGATGGTAAGTGGTTGCTGCGGCCCATAGACATCTACATCTATCCTCTATTACAAATCAAAATGTAGATGCGTTGTCACCCGTGAGGACTAAGATGGAATGCCTCATTTCCAGAAAAAGGGCCTCCGGCCACCTGCACTCACCAAGCGAAACGCAGAGGTAAACTTCTACTTCACGCTGGTTTTCTGTGAGGTCGTGGTACCATCCCGGTTCGAGTCGGCCCATCCATGCGACAGCAAAAGCTGCCGCGTGGCTCTACCACTGTTAAATTTACACAGTTTGAATAATGTTTTGATTTGTTTTTGTTATTACGACTTCAGATTTTAAGTGTAGTCTATTTTTCCTATATTAATATTAAGTTCAAATAAAAAAGTACAAGTATAAAATTTCAATGAGACATTTTATTAAAAACATGTACAATTATTATTATTTATATATTATTACACTGAGCTTGCACCTTAGCTCAGTATCATGTTGACAAAGTTCTCTGTAGTATCCTCTCTCGTTCTAATTATACAAATCCCTAACTTTACTTATTATCATTCCTTATATTCTCCTCACTCAAAAAAATATTCTGTTGCCTGTGTAGGACAATTAGAGATTTCGGCGGTGTGGTAGATTTTGGAGGTGTTTGGGATCTGGTTATTGTTAGGAATCTGGGATTGGATGGAGGTATAAGTACTGGTATCCTTGCTGCCGCCAGGAGTGTTCCAGTCCTCATCATCTGAAAAGATCAATTGAAAAACTTGAACTTTCTACATTACTTTCACAGATATTTCCTTTTTATATTGTTAATAATATTTGAAAGTTAAAAGATGTAATGACTAATTTGAATTATAAGTACTTTATTGTTATGATTTCTTTAATTTATAAAATAAACAGGACTCATGATTACACACTAGTATCACTTACATCATGAAATTATTACTATTACATATTTTTTTATATTTAATAATTGCAATAGTTAATATACACAAGAGTAGTTGAAGACGTACCTATAGCGGGAATTTCAGATGGTACAATTATTAAATTTTCTGTTTGTGGCTTTGCGAGTATATAATACTGTTTTATTAATTCTGTTCTCTAAGTATGTGAGACATATTTTTTCATATTAATTTAATTGTCTATAAGGTTTTGCCCACTATCTTTTTAAATCACTCCACATATTAAGCAAACCAAATAAAACGATAATGAACCCAAAATTCTCACTAAAGCGCTCTGGATTGATATTGAATGTTTTAGAAAAATAAGACTAGCACTTACTTTTCGCCACTTTTCTTCTTTGCGGGGCTCCTTGCACTTTATAATACACCACTGTCGTTATTCTGTGGTTTCGATAAATCACCGTTCCTTGGAAACAAACAATATTCATTATTTAACAGAATAAATCACTATCAATATACAATAAACATATAGACTAAAATACAACCAAAACTGTTGTTTCAATATAGTTACTTACTTTTCCATTAACTCTACCATTATTGTAAAGTGTGTGTGGCTAGTTCTTGACAACATCATTATCACATTTAGCAGGAATTAACTAAAACAAATTCAAAACACAAAACTACTAAAACAACACGAAGCGGAGCGAAGTCAAGTGTTTTGTCTTAAGCAATCCGCGTTGGGAAATCACAATTCATAAAAGGTGAAACATAGTTTTATAAACATAAAAAAAGTTTCTCCATATATAATTTTATAAATAGTGTTTTGTCAAATAACTGTTTAACATTAATTAACACACTATTATTAATAAGTTTCATCACGTTTTCTTATTTTTACGCACAATAAAAGACTCCACAAATACAATGATAGCAATTTATAAACGTATCATTCATTTTCATTCGTTCGTTTTAATATTGAGTTCTAAGCTTTGTTTACATTTAGTTACAATATAGTATCGAGTACACTTGAATAAAAGATAAGCGTTCGTGCTGCCGACGACTTTAGTCACAGTTTGGTAAAAGTTTTCGCTTAGTTTACTCTATACGAATTCTTGACGCAATTGTTTATTATTCGTGCTCGAGGTACAGGACATGGTAATGCGTTTTTGGCGTGGCGGTCAAAAGGTAAAAACATGGTCAGACGAATCATTATTTCCCTCGGAAAATTAATATGAGAGACATTATTCGGAGTAATTGGCTAAATACTTAACATTATTTAGTATAATTGTGTAAAATATTATAATTTATTTATATATCCCTGCGTTAACTGATAGGAATGCCATAAGGTATAAACTCCGGAAATTGTGAACCGTCTATGGTGTCTTACAATAAAGATGGAATAAGGTAAGGTGCAGCCTATTTACGTCCCACTGCTGGGGGCACAGGCCTCCTCTCATTTCTGAGCGGGTTTTAGGGCAAGGAAATGTCCGCCGCGCTGCCCCAATGCGTGTTGGCGAACTTCACATGTCTTCGAAATATTTTTCTTCTTATTTCTCAGACATGCAGGTTTCCTCACGATGTTTTCCTTCACCGCCAAGCACGTGGTAAATCAGCACTTAAAATTGCAATTAACAATTTCATTGGTGCCGGCGGGGATCGAACCCGGGTTGCTCGAGTACTGTGAAGCTTACAGCGAGCGCTAACCATCTGAGCTACCACGGCAAAGATGGAATATCTTACAGAAATTAAATGTTTCATTCGTGTGTATTTCAGAACAGTACATCACAGCGACAAATAGTTTTTCAGAACCGTCTGAGAAGAAGATTTAATCAAATTCTACTGATTGTAGCATAAACGATGTCCATAAAGAAAACCTCGATTTTGAAGGCCCTACTATTAAATCAAACCTGATAATTAATGAAAGAGGAAAGCATCCTGCAATGAAAAAAACATCCCATGCATCAACAAAATACATTTTTGAATGTGATGGTTGTAGTAAAAAATTTTCAACAAAAAACATTCTCGCTAAACACATTTCATGCAGTCATAATAAGACGCAAAAGAACTCAGACACCACTGCAGTTCGGACACAAGTTAAACAAACTCCAGAACCACAACAAAGAGAAATATTTAATTGTGATATTTGCGAATTTAAAACATTTCAAAAACGTTACATTTTGGCACATGTTAAAGCGCACGTTAATAAACAAATGTACTGTTGCTATGATTGTGAATATAAATGTGTTAGAAAAAGTGAATTGCAAAGGCATATGAAAATACACACCGGAGAAGATCCTTTTTCGTGTAATATCTGTGAATATAGCTCTATTAGAAAAAGTGATTTGCAGAATACATATGAAAACACACACCGGTGAAAAACCTTTTTCTTGTAATATCTGTGATTTTAGATTTAGTTTTAAAAGTAGTTTGAAAACCCATATGAAAATACACACCGGTGAAAAATCTTTTTCGTGTAATATCTGTGAATATAGCTGTATTAGAAAAAGTAATTTGCAAACACATATGAAAACACACACCGGTGAAAAACCTTTTACGTGTAATATCTGTGAATACAAATATATTACAAAGAGCCGTTTGCAAACCCATATGAAAATACACACCGGCGAAAGACCTTTTTCATGTAATATCTGTGAATATAAATGTAAATATGAAAGTACACACCGGTGAAAACCCTTTTTCATGTAATATATGTGATTCTAGATTTATGTAGTTTAAAACTCATATGAAAAAACACACTAGAGAAAAACCTTTTTCGTGTTATATCTGTGAATATAGATTTACAAAAGTTCGTTTGCAAATGCATAATATGAAAAAACACACGGGCGAAATACCTTTTACGTGTAATATCTGTGAATATAGCTGTATTACTAAAAGTTATTTGCAAACACATATGAAAAGACACACCGGTGAAAAACCTTTTTCATGTAATATATGTGATTCTAGATTTATGTAGTTTAAAACTCATATGAAAAAACACACTAGAGAAAAACCTTTTTCGTGTTATATCTGTGAATATAGATGTATTACAAAAGTTCGTTTGCAAATGCATAATATGAAAAAACACACGGGCGAAATACCTTTTACGTGTAATATCTGTGAATATAGCTGTATTACAAAAAGTTATTTGCAAACACATATGAAAAGACACACCGGTGAAAAACCTTTTTCGTGTAATATCTGTGATTTTAGATTTAGTTTTAAAAGTAGTTTGAAAACCCATATGAAAATACACACCGGCGAAAAACCTTTTTCGTGTTATATCTGTGAATATAGCTCTATTAGAAAAAGTGATTTGCTAATACATATAAGAACACACACCGGTGAAAAACCTTTTTCGTGTAATATCTGTGAATATAGATGTACTACAAAGAGTCGTTTTCAAACCCATTTGAAAATACACACCGGTGAAAAACCTTTTTCGTGTAATATCTGTGATTTTAGATTTAGTTTTAAAAGTAGTTTGAAAACCCATATGAAAATACACACCGGTGTCAAAAACCTTTTTGTGTAATATCTATGAATATAAATGTAAATATGAAAGTACACACCGGTGAAAAACCTTTTTCGTGTAATATATGTGATTTTAGATTTATGTAGTTTTAAAAAGCAGTTTAAAACTCATATGAAAAAACACACCGGAGAAAAACCTTTTTGTGTAATATCTGTGAATATAGATGTATTACAAAAGTTCGTTTGCAAATACATAATATGAAAAAACACACCGGCGAAATACCTTTTACGTGTAATATCTGTGAATATAGCTGTATTAGAAAAGGTGATTTCAAATACGTATGAAAACAAACCGGTGAAAAACCTTTTTGTGTAATATCTATCTAATTTAAATATATTACATGTTAACATTGTTATGGCGTATAGACCGATGAAAAGCAAACGCTCTATGACATTTTGCGACAATTAATTTTCAGAATAAATGCGAAAATGCTTTACATTTTATGAGATTATTAATAAATTAAAAGATTAGAAAATTCACATTTTATGAGCTACGAATTCATTGTTAAGGAAGGGACAGATAGATTTAGATTTAGATAGATTTTCCTTTTATTTTGTAAAATTGTATTATTTAAGTTAGAATTCGTACTAGATACATCAGCAAAATGATTAGCAATGTTTTTATTTTTACAATGAACACAAGGATTATCATCCGTGTCCTTCAAAAAATTGTGCTCGAGAAATGACACACTCCTAGCATAAAAAATTCGCCTTGGATTTTGTGGATCTGTCAACCTATAGCCTTTAGTTGAATCACTAGCCAACAAAAATATATCTTTTAGATATAAGATATAAGGTCTAATTTAGAACGTTTCTACTCAGGGATTAATGAGTATGCAATGCAGCCAAAAACTCTAAGGTGACTAAGGTCTATATCTGAACCAGTCCACACTTGTTCAGGCATCAGCCCAGCACTTCTATTCTTTAAATAAAGGGCCGTCATGACCGCTTCTTCCCAATATTCCTGGCTAAGACCAAATTCCTGCAGCATGCATCTTGCTTTCTCTAACAAAGTCCTATTTAGCCTCTCAGATACTCCGTTCTGCTGAGGGCAATCATTCTCTAAACCATTTCCCATTATCTGGGGTCGGCGCAGTAAATCTTTTTGTTCCATTCCTCTCTATCAGCCGTCATTTCCATACTTACTCCTTTCATTCTCATATCACTCTTCACACAATCGATCCATCTTTTATTCGGCCTTCCTCTGCCCGTGTGTCCCTCCACCTGTTCTTTGTTTAATAATTATTATGGTTATTTGATGAATAATTCCTTGAGACTTAAGAAAAGATTTGAAACGATCATTACAATATTCACCGCTTGCATCAGTTCGTAGACATTTTATGTTGGCTCCGGCCTATTTCTCAACAAGGTTTATAAAATCAATAAAACGGGGCATTACCTGATTTTTCTCTTGTAGAAGATACACCCAACTCTTCCTACTGTAGTCATCTGTCAAGGTCAGCATATACTTCGCACCGCCCCAACTTTTAATCGGCATCGGTCCACAGATGTCGGAGTGAGTGAGCTCTAATCGACTAGTGGCACGCTTGGCTTCACCAGAGGGATAAACTTTTGAGACTTGCTTGCCCTTCAAACAAGCCACGCACCCAGAGAGCTCGTGTTCTTCATCCTGAAACATAAGAGCTTTCTTTTATCGCAACGTGCACATACCTCCATAACTCATGTTCTTCAGGAGAACTGAAGAGCACCCAATAGGCTGCGAAGTATTACCTGCAGGTGTGATGCTATACAGCTTGTAAACACCATTGATATCAGCTGCATGACTATATACTCGTACCATAACGTGTGATCTTACAGTCCCTATCTTTATAAATGTGACACCCTTTCTTGTCAAAATCAAGTACATAACCAGATTTAATTAGCCTATTAACAGAAAGTAAAGTAAGTATTCGCTATATATATATATATATATATATATATATATATATATATACAGGGTCATTTTTAATTTACTGAAGACCTTTTGGGTGGTATTGGTTACATCATTACAAACAATTTTAGTGAGATCACTCTTTACAGAATATAATACATTTACGAAAAAACTACTTTTAAGATTTTGTTGTCATGTCTGACTCCTTTTAAGTCTGTATTTTGTAGTACCTAAACAATGTCAGAATAAATCGTCAAAGAAAATGCCTAAATAAGGCATTTTTACACTTGATACAGTATCAAACATTGTGTTGAAATCATTAAACATAATTAAATGAGCAAATGACATTCAAAAAAAACCACAAATATTAAAATTTATAATAAGTAAGAATGACCGCCGGGCCGGTCGACACCCGTGCTCAGCTGATTGCGTTGCGAGTAGGGTTACCAGATGAAAAAATTAAAAGTCCGGAGAAGAGGCCTGATTTCCATTTAAAAATCCTGAGATTGTTTTGCAGTTTGAGAAGAAAACCTTACTTAAAAAGGTATCTTCACATATTAAGTATGATAAAACGGTTTAAGTACCTACTTGGATACATAAGTTTTGATTTTAATTGTGGAATTATTACCAAAGGAAAATTATTTTTAGTTTGTTTAACTTTTTATTAAGAGATCTTTTAAAATGTAAGCTGTATTATATTGAAAGTTCTAAAAATCCTGAGATTTCATGAGATTTGCAAAATCCAGCCGCAATCCTGAGAAGAATCTAAAAATCCTGAAATCGCAGGACAAATTCTGAGATATGGTAACCCTAGTTGCAAGAGCCTACTAAACCATTCATCACTGTGCCTATTGCACCAGGGCGCCACTTTAAATGACTTTACATTAACTTTTCATATACTTCTTCATTTTGCATAAAACCATTTGATGAACTATTTGATTGTTTTATTAATTTCTTTAAGAATTAATAGACATTCTTTAATAGACATTTAGGTAGTTTTTTTACGAATACTGTTTGCTAGCAACTCTGCCTGCATCCAAGAGGCAACGCCTCAACGTCGCACATGCGGCGGCCCAAGGCCAAGCCAACGATATATTATAACGTCGACACAGGTGTCACCGTCATCAAAGGCGCCGCCTGCCCTTTTCGGTTTGCAGGCATCGATTTGGTGATTGATGTTTGCAGCACGTGCAAATTAAATGAGTATTATTAACTATTTTTTTATTTAATGTAAGTTGTATTTAAAAAAATGGATGCAGGTTAAAATAATTACAAATATTACAATAAAGTATTTATAATGATTAAATACAAATTAACAGTAATTGAATAATGATATTAAGGTATAATGGTTCAATAAAAATATTAAAATACAAATTTAAAAATTAGACTTACCTAGGTACTTGTCCGCGGATGGCGGTGAGTTTCGCGCACATAGCGTTCAAAATAATCACCACATTTAACAGTGGTAGAGCCACGCGGCACCTTTTGCTGTCGCACGGATGGGCCGGCTCGAACCGGGGTAGTACCACGACCTCACAGAAAACCAGCGTGAAGCAGAGGTTTACCTCTGTGTTTCGCTTGGTGAGTGCAGGTGGCCGGAGGCCCTTTTTACTGGAAATGAGGCATTCCATCTTAGTCCTCACGGGTGACAACGCATCTACATTTTGATTTGTAACAGAGGATAGATGTAGATGTCTATGGGCCGCAGCAACCACTTACCATCAGGTGGACTGTGTGATCGTTTGTCACCCTTATCCTATAAAAAAAAAAATTCTATGCATAGGTGACACCTAAAACTCAACTGTTCACCGACACGAGATAATACTTGATGATTCATTTTGATTTGATCGAATGCCCAAATTATTTTTTCTTTCAACATGTCGCGGGTTTCGAATGCTCAATCTACACTAATGTCTTTACATGCCTCCACAAATAAAAATCTATTGGTGTGATATCTGGCGATCTGGGAGGCTATGCACAAGGCCCGTCTCGACCGACCCAGCGACCAGGATATTCTCTGTATAAATAATCCTTAACTTGGCGAGCATAGTGTGCCGGCGCCCCGTCAAGTTGGTATGTCCTCTAACAACTCTGGCAGCGTGTCGGTGAGAAAACTATGATAGCTTTCACCGTTTAATCTTTCTATGAAGACCGGGCCCAGTAACGTTGTATTAGTGACGCCTGCCCACACATTGACACTAAATTTCGGTATACTCAATATTTGAGTATCGGTATGCCATTGTAACAACGCGTAACGTTCGCGATA